TACACTCCTTATCCCTGAGACGGAGTAGGCGTGGCGTTTGGACATGACATAGGATGGATTATTCATAAAATATTTCACTTGAGACAACTGTCATCTTGTTCTGTGTTGGACAAAGACATGACCACAACTGTCTCAAATGAAAACATCCCGCCAAAGCACAACCACCGCCAAGTTTAGTTGAAGTACGCGGCCACGCCCACCCCATTTCAGGGTTTTCATGCGTAGATAATAGCGAACTGTATTACCAACGAAGGGAAAGGTTTTTGCTACTAAGCTGAGCTGCAAAAGCTGATTTGCTCCTACATGTTTGTCATGTGTCTCCGCTCAGATTGGTCTCTTTACTTCCTACATCTGGTCACTTACTTTCCTCTGTAGTCATCGTCTGGATGCAAGCCATGCTTTTCTTGATACTTCTTCTCAGCCATTTCGCAGGAGTGGAAAATCACGTAGAACGCTGGAATGACGTTTTCCAGTATCTTCAGTAAACTAGTGAAGTGCTTACCTTGAGCGAATCCGAGTACAAAGACTGAGTAGATGAGAAGAAAACGCAACATATCGCCAACAATAATCTTGTAGACCATCAGCACAAATGGACCTACGAATTTCATACCCCTGGAAAGGAAACCTTCACAGGGCAGATGAACATGCCTTCAAAAATCATTACCGGCAATAGAAAAGAAAATGCATGGTGGTCATCAGAACAACGATGATTGTCAAGACATTATCGAGTAGCAGCATTATTGGGTGCAGGAAGCAGGCTGTACGAATGGGAACGATGAGCAGCAATGTGAGCTGGGAGACCTTGTGCAGGACTTTTTCCGGAAAAGCACTCTGAAATCAAGTAAACGATGAATTCATTGAGAACCACTACAGCGAGTCCAACAAGCACAATCTCTAAGGGTTCAGTTCCTGGTTAATTGACTTGGCGCACTTGCACAGCCACGTTTAATCTATTACGACTTAGTGCGAATGATATGACACCATTGCAGGGCCTCTTCCCAATACAGTACAGTTGATAACTTTGCAAGCAGTCGCGGCGCTGGCAGGAGGCCGGACAGAGCCCACTGGACTGCCTTGCTCCATCAATAGCGGTTGACCGTGGCTGATCTAAAAGATACTGCTAGTGGCAAAAAACGCCGCGACCACAGAGTTAAACAAAACGTCGCGGGAAATTGGGGGATTGGTACCACCTAACCACTCTCCGAAAAAAATGGATGTTTGTACGACCCCCCCCCTCCCTTAGTGACTGTGGAATGTGCTAGAGTATCTGCTCCACTAATCGGGATTGGCTGCATATGTTGTGTGGTATTCAATTCAATTTTACTGAACGAGTATCCGAGTATCTAAATAAGAACATTTACCAAACCAATCGAACAAAAGCAATGAAAATTGAAAAAAATTAGATTTTCAGAAATAGCGTAATGCACACAGCTGAACCTTCGAAAAACTTTAACATGACGCCCTCCAAGGGAAACAGCATGAACTCTAGGCACTAAGCGCCTGCGTTAGTGTCGCGTTGAGACCGGAGCGCTATCGGCCATTGCATTCACATAGTATTTTTGAAAACGGTATAAAATCATTCAGACACATGTATCGCAGAGCGGTAAGGACGATTCAAGTTGCATTGCCAGGCTCTATAGGAAATACATTACAGCCTTTATCAAGCTTGTGTGGCGGCTTCTGCATAGAAAATAACCCGGAAAGTTTTGGGCAAACGCGAGTTCTTCACCTTTCAATTGTATAACTTTGTTCAGGCACAACGGCACAACGTAGAACGGAGCTCTACACGGCCTTGGGAACTAGAAAGCTTTCTCTTCTGAATGAGAACGACAGCTTTGCTGTAGCTTACATGAGCTGCAGTATGAGGATCTTCTTCTGTAAAGCCCACATCATCATTTAGAAAGCTCGGTAGTCTTCTCGTGGCCTCCCGATCAACGTTTCCAGGATGCGCCATACACTCGACTTGATTCCCGAATGCAACACCTATGCTGCAAGCTAATCGCCGCTGTTTCAGCAACGACCTTTAGACAAACGAGCTCCTTCCGAAGCGGACCGGATACGAGTCCCTTCGCGGATTCCGCGACGTATGCTGAACTCAGCATGGGTGAACACGGTCCATCCTTTTTTTAGACCGCCCTGAATGATTGCGACGTTATGAACTGTACTTGCTGCAACTTGGAACTAACGACCTACACCCCTATATAACAACAGGGTCGCTACGCCTTCAGGAAGCAACTTACAATGGCCATCCACCAACGCTTCAT